AAGTAATTAGAAAATTCTTTAAACGCATTCCACCCGGGGGTCCCTGACACTTTTTCCAGACCGCTTCTTATAGACATCCATGGAAGTCATCACAGATAGGTTGAAATCTGCATTTCACCTAGATTAAAACTCTGCAGCGAGGGGCTTCCCTGGTGGCACAGTGGTTAGGGATCCGCCTGTCAGTGCAGGGGACACGGGTTCGAGCCCTGGTCCAGGAAGACTCCACATGCCGCGGAGCAACTAAGCCTGCGAGCCACAACTACTGAGCCCGTGTGCTGCAACTACTGAAGCCCACGTGCCTAGAGCCTGTGCTCCATGATAAGAGAAGCCACCGCAATGAGAAGCCCGCACACCGCAACGAAGAGTAGACCCCGCTCGCCGCAACTAGAGAAAGCCCATGCACAGCAACGAAGACCCAATGCAGCCAAAAAAAAAAAAAAAAAATCTGCAGCGAGGGCCAATCACTCTGGCAGGAGGCCATGTGAAGGAGGGCGAGGATAAACATTCCATTCTCCCAACACGACTGCTTTCCTCTGAGAACAAGAACCAACCAACGAAAGAAGAAAACTCTTTCTCTTTCTTGGCTAAAGCATTCAGCCCTCAGCTTTGATATAACATTTCAAAGTCCTTAACAGGCTGCTCCCTTGACCTAATTTCAAGACATATTAAATAGATTATTCATTACTGTTTCCAGGCTTAGCTCCGTGTTTGTTAAGATGGCTGCATCTCACATAGACAGAGTGGTCCGATAGAGCAGCGCAGAACCTGGAGCTGGGAAGCATCCTTCCAACTCAGTCCCTATATTCCACAGAAGTGAGGTGACTTGCCCAGAACTGTGGACTCTGCTGGAATCAGATGGCCTTCAGGCCATCCCTAGATGACTTAGCGCCACTGTGATGAACACGCCAGGACCACACACGCCCACTTCACCTGACAGCAGCTCAGAGTCCAGCGGACGACCCACTGACAACCGCACAAGCCGCTCTGCCCCAGGACCAGGCTCCTTCGTGAGAAGTCGGCCCCGTTAAGTAGCAGCTACCTCACTACGGGACACAGAGCTGCCTGTGTTTCCAGAGAGCTGGCAGCTGGTCTCTGCACGGCTCCCACTGTCCCCCTCCGCGGCACAGTCGTGAAGCAGGGAGAGCGGTCTTCTGCCTCCGACCCTCCCCTCCACATCCTGCTGTCTTGAGTGACCCGGGCTGGGCCCACGCGCATCAGTTACCACAGTCCGGTCTTTGCCTTTTAAGCCTATATCTCTTCGTGGGGAATCAAAGGCCCTTCCTCTTCGTAGCGCGCTCCGGGCAGCAACTGAAAAGATGTTACTGTAGACGCCCTGCAGGCCCACGAAGCCTTCACCTGACCCCTGACAATGAGCCTGGAAGGACTAGATTTTATGAGACTGGCAGAGAGAGGCAAACAGGGATCAGAAAAGAACATGCAAGAATGGTCCCCGCTCTGAAGAGCTCTGAAGAGATCTGGGCCCTTTCTGGGTCAGGTGAGCAGAGGTTCAGTCCAGGCAGCTGCCGGGCCCAGACTGGAGACGTTCTAAGCCTTTCTCCAGGCTACCTCCTGTCCCCACCCATCAGGCCTCTTCCCTCCCCACATCTGCCCCTTCTCATTCTGTTCCAAGTCCCCCTGATGATTGTTTCACATCTTAACCACTTTGCAATCTCATGGAACATCGACCTATATATTTCCTACATCATTTCTTCCTCTAATTGTGGAGTTCCTGATAAATATGTCTTAAATATGCATAAATAAGCATAAATAAATATGCTCACATCCTCCACCACATAAAAATATAGGGAATGAACCGCCTCGGGATTTAATGTGCTCCTTGTCGCCTAGGCAGAACTTTGTTGAGGTGATTTGAGCTCTGGCTGGGTAGTTAGACAAGAAGAACCCCTTCCGGGCTTCTATTAGAAATAATAACAATGATGATAATTATAACGGTAATAGCTTTTTCATTTACAGAACATTTTACACATTGCAAATATTTTCTGGGTACGTTTTCTCCTCATTTGATCTCATTTACCCTGTGAAGTTGTGATATTATGGTCCCCAAGTTCCAAGTGAGGTAAAAATAAGTTTAACTAGTTTCCCTTTCCAAGGGGGTGCCCTTTCTGCTGCGCTCTGCCGCTTCAAAAAGAAGCAGACCGTGCACTGAAAACAGCTGATAACACACAGCTTCAAACCGTTTTCCTGCACTGGGAGAGAGAGGGCATTAACCGCCCACTTCTGTCACCATTTGGTATAAAATTCCCAGCATGAAGGGCATTCATACAGGCAGCATCAGCAGGGCATCACGGGCTGTTTTAGCGATTTTAGAATCACAAACTCTTAGGTGCAACCTGGAAGCGCCTCTTTCCCCTCCGTTCCAACACATTCTACTACCGGACAAATGCAAAACTTAGAGGTCCTTTACACAGTAAAGGAAAGAGTACTAATAAAGCAGACTGTGTATTTACATTTCTAGACAATCATGCCATAAAAAGTCAGTTTATATTTCTATACAAACATCCATACATGGCTACAGAACCAAACATTTTCCAGTTCTATATCTATTTCCAAACAATTTAAACATACTGTGCTCTTACAATTACCTTAAGTGGTGAATTTTCTCTTAGTCATTGCAATGGCATAAACATCCTGGACCCAGACACTATTTTTTAAATCATACTATAACTTGTTTTAAATTGTGGTATACAACTTGGTAACACCAACTCTTAGCACATATTTTATCTCATTATGGCAATTATAAAATAATCATGAAACCCAAAGACCCCAATATTTGTTCAAGGTATCATGATGAGGCTTCTGGAAACACAGGGTAAGAATGACCACACTGTGGAAGCCAGTGAAAACTGAAGTTATATGGATTTTAAAAGAATTTGCTCATTTTAAATGGCCTTTTAGAAGATGTGGTACATATATATAATGGAATATTACTCACCCATTAAAAAGGAACGAAATTGGGTCATTTGTAGAGACGTGGATGGACCTAGAGACTGTCATACAGAGTGAAGTAAGTCAGAAAGAAAAACAAATATCATATATTAACGCATATACGTGGAATCTAGAAAAATGGTAAGGATGAACCAGTTTGCAAGGCAGAAATAGAGACACAGATGGACGTATGGACACCAAGGGGGGAAAGGGGGTGGGTGGGATGAATTGGGAGATTGGGATTGACATATACACACTAATATGTATAAAATAGATAATTAATGAGAACCTGCTGTATGGCACAGGGAACTCCACTTCACTGTACAGTAGATACTAACACAACATTGTAAAACAACTATACCCCAATTTTTAAAAAATGGCCTTTTACTAATAAAGAGCCTGTAACTTAGCATATTTGGATAAGTGATGATGACCTGATTGTACAAGCGCAGATTATTCAAGTAGAAATTAGGCAGAACTCTGTCTTCATCCTAGAAGGTTAGATCTTTAAGAATTTGGGGGGGAAAAAGAATTTTAAGAGAACAAAGCTCTGGGGCCAGGAGATAAACAACATTGCAATGCTGAAGCCATTGCAGCATTATACATCATCTTTTTCTGAGTGTAATCTGTAATCTTCAAGGTCTTTTCCCTTTTCTTTCTTGTTTTCTTTATAACCTGGAAAACTAAACAAACCTTTCCAATTTTTTCTATCTTTTTTAGAACGTAAACTCGGAAAGATCAGGACTTGTTATTGTACGCTCTTTCATGCCAACTTGGATCTCAGTATTCCGTAAGTCATGAGATCTTTTAAAAAGCTGATATCTAATGAGTAAATTCGACTAATTCATGGTTGAGTTCAATAGAATCGGCATTTACAAATTTCTATTCAGCACAAGGCATTGGACCAAGTACTAGAGAGACAACTAGGGTGTGTCTATGCTCCCTGAAATTATCAAAAGGTAGACTTTGCCTATAGACTCCAAGGCTCAAAGATATAAAAGAAACTTTAAAGCTTTATTGAAATATTTTAACAAAAATGTACATCCAGTTATGCATGTACCAGAGTGATCAACGTTCACCTTTCTCCCAAGTTTTAAAGAGGAATTCTCTCATCACAGGCTTTCCAAATACCCAGCAATCTCATCATTAAAGACTTTAAGTATTGAAAAGCTGCCAAGCTCATGACAGTGGATATACATTTTGTAAACTTCTCATTCTCGCTTGAAAACTCAAAAATTATCATTGGTGACAATAATTACCCTTTGTTTTCCTGGAAGTGACAGGTGCACGTTACTTATTTTCTAAAAAATGTCTGTCAAATGCCTGTCTGACTACCCATAGTTTGTCCATCTTTCTTTCAAGTAAAAATAGTGTTCCGTGAAAATAAAAATAAAAACACTAGCTCAGCTTGCGACTTAAGCACTCAAGTGTTTTCCTGGAGGCAAATATGGCACCTCCGTGTTCAGGGCACGTGCTCTGTGATTTCTTCCTCTTTTTTTCACACAGAATTTTAAAAAGTGTACCAAAAGGTTGAAATGTAATAAAATTAATAATTTTTTTGCCTTATCACGTACACCGTCAAGTGACACTGGCCTGTACAGCGTGGCTCCTGCACTTTCTCCCACCGTTGTTTTTGCAGCATTCGTGCAAAAGTCAGCACAGGGCACGAGTCACGTGAGTTTTAGGATTGTCACGAAAACGGTTCTGACCCTTAGACCCCCTGAAAGGGTCTCGGAGCCGCCAGGGCGTCGAGGACTGCACTTGAAGAACTACCCGGCGTCCGCGCACGAGAAATCGCCGTTCCCTCCCTGTTCAGTTACGCACGCTCGAGGCGCGTTTATCACTACGGGTCTGACCGCGGAGCGCCGAGGAGCAGACGTTCCCGGCGTCCAGTGATGGTCCTGTACCCGGGACGTTCGCAGGACCGCGCGGGGGCCGCCTTGCGGTTGCCGTGGCAACGATCGCGGGCGGGTGCGGCGCGGCCATCGACCAGTGACGCCTGCGCGCTCTGCGCTCTGCCGAGAGGGCTGCGGCGCCCCGCGGGCCGGCGAGAAGATGGCGGCGGCGGCGGGCTACCCAGCTGGGAAGGGGCGCGACATTAGCCTGGCGGCCCTGCGGCGCCACGATCCCTACATCAGCCGCATCGTGGACGTGGCCAGCCAGGTGGCCCTGTACACCTTCGGCCACCGGGCCAACGAGTGGGTGCGTGCGGGCAGGCGGGGCCGGGGAGGGGCTGCGAGCGGGCGGGGAGGTCCCCCCCGCGGTCACTCGGGTCCGGCGTCCGCGGGCACCTCCCGCCGCGTTGAACTGAGTCACGGAGCGCGGGCAGGACTCAGCCCCGCGGAGCGGGTCAGACACCCTGCTCCGGCACGTCCTGGCGGTCATCTAGGAGAGCCCTCCGACGGGACACAGCCCCAGTAGTTCACGTGGCCTCCCCACCTTCCGCAGCAGGTCATTAAAGTTTACCCGAAAACCACTCGCAGAAGCGAAGACACTAAGAAGTAGGTCCTAACATGGGAGAGAAGAGAACAGCGTTGCCCTAAGTTCGTAACAGGAAATTCACCGAAAAGAGGCAGGAATGGAGGGACGTGGGGACACCTGCCCGCGAGGTCCCGGGGGAGGAAGCGCGCCGCTTCCTAGCTGTGTCTCCCTAGTTTTCGGGGGCATGTGTCGCCTGGGTCCTCGTATCGAGGACGTTGAGCGACGAGGTGGACAAGTTTCAGCGGCAACTTTTAAAATGCAGATATTCTGCCTGCGGCTGCATACTGCTCTGTAGAAAAGCGCCAAAGGCATGATGTCCTAATTCCGCTGAGGAAATTCGGTAGCAGAGATGAGGATCGGGGTGTGTCGTTCTCTGGACTGACTTGACACCCGACCGAGGGTCTGGGGAATTCTCACAAGTTAACGGGTACAGGAGAGGTTCCCTTTGAGTAGTGGTGGTTTCCTACGGGCGTTGGACAGGGTCTCTGAGACCCGTGTTACCATAGTTACAGAGGCCGCCCTTCTACAGCCGCATCAGAAGTCGCAAGTGGCACAATGCATTATTTACAGGAGTTATGGTTTTCTGCTTCCTGGACTTGTTGCTTTCATACAACGCGTGGTTCATCCCTTAGAAGGTCATTCTTTCAAAGGACTCATCTTCAAGGCTGTGGTAGCCGAGGAAAAAAAAGACAGAGACCTAGTTTAGCTGCAGGGCAGTTGCTGGGGGCAAGCAAATTGATGCTGCGTCTCCATATGCCACCACAACGGGAGCTTCTGAACAGAAGCCTAATAGAAGCGTACAGGACATGCTTCAGAACAGAAGAGAAAGTATATGCAGGTGCGACGTAAAGAAGGGGAATTCTTATTACACTGAATATGGATGAAGGCTAACTTAAGGCATTCGGCAGGAGGAATAAGGAATGAAGCGGGGACAGAAAATGAGCTGCTTTAAGGAAGCTTAAGAACGATTATGTCGGGACTGGAGTAGGAATTTTGGAACTAGACCTACTTCCCATTGCCAGGAAATCCCACTCCCCCAAAACACCGGTGTGTCTTAACCCTAGTGCTGTTTTCACCTCTCAACCCTTAGAGTAGTAGTTCTTAACTGGAGTCGATTTTGCTTCCAGGCAACACTGGCAGGGTCTTGAGAAAATTTTTAGTTGTCGCTTGGAGAGGGACCACGTTACTGGCATCCCGAGGGTAGATGCCAGGGATTCTGCTAAACATCCTGCGGCGCATGGGACAGGCCCCCACGACAAAGGTTAACCTGGCCCCAGATGTCAAAAGTGCTGAGCTTGAGAAGCTGCCTGATAGTGGTCGTGTACCCCTTGTTTCTAGCGAGTTCTGTGAGTCAAGATCAGTGCATCCCACCAAATCAGAAAGCTCCGGCTATGGGGCCCAAGCGTTTGATGTTTGTCGAAAGCTTCTTAGGTGACTCGGATGCTACATATATGATTGAGAAAGGCAGATTTAGAGGGTAAATGAAGATTTACTTTTTCATTATTTTAACAGAATAGTCAGATGTAGATTGCGTTGATTTGAAAGTGTCAAGTAGTCTGCCGAGTCCCAATAGTTTGCAAACTAGCATTATTTTACATTCTACTTCGTTATTTTAAATTTTGAACTGCTTAATTTTTTAGCACTTGTTAGTTTTTATGAGTGTAATATTAAATCATTAAATTGTACTTTTAAAATTTAAGCTAAAATCCCCCAGAGCTGTGAACTAATACTTTAACATAATAGTCTTCTTTAGGAACTTCCCTGGTGGTCTAAGTGCTGAGACTCTGCACGCCCAGTGCAGGGGGCCCGGGTTTAATCCCGGTCAGGGAACTAGATCCCACATGACGCAACGAAGAGTTCCCATGCCACAACTAAAAGATCCCACATGCTGCATCTAAGACCTGGAGCAGCCACATAAATTAATAAATATTTTTTTTAAAAAAGTCTTCTTTACTTGCAGGACCTAAGGAAGAGCTAATAGAATCTTGCTTTAACTGTTGCCCTAAACCTGGGCTTTGCCCAGAAAGAAAAAAAAAAAAGGAGGAGCTAATCGGATCTTGCTTTAACTGTTGCCCAAAACCCCAAACCTGGGCTTTGCCCAGAAAGAAAAAAAAATCTGGTTACCCCTGTATAACCGTGGAGGGACGGAGAAAATACGTGAATTTGAGCTGTTTCAGCCAGAATAGACCAGAATTTACGTTTCCAAAGACCTTTTTATCTAGGTGTCATAGAGCCTTAGATGAAAAATATGTTTTTAATCCAAAGATCTGCGTGGTGTAGGTTTGTTATCCCTTTTCGGTGGAGAAACTGAGACACAGAACAATAAACTAAGAATCGCAAATTTGGAATTAGAGAATAATTTCAGGAGAAGCATGCCATTTACATTTCTGATTCTGGGTTTTCCTTAAGGAACAGGTAATTTCTATCACTACTTCATTAAGGAAGGAAGGAAACAGGTCGAAGGCTGTTAGGTTTCTGTGTGCTGATCTGCAGAAACATCCTGACTAGGATCTCTGAGATGAAACAGTCCAGGGTCAAATACTGGAAGGCAGAAAAGTGTTTTGTCCTCGTAGCAAGTGGTCACTTAATAGTAAATCCAGTTTAAGGATGATGAAATTACTCAAGCATGGAAAGGATCATGCTTGCAATTTTTTGTGTGCCTTTTCAGAATCATCATTTTAATATACCTTTGTTTCTTAAAGAGAGTATTTTTCACCAAAACTACAGAGTACTTAAATTTTGAATGACTTTGCTAATGGATATATAAATAACAAAATATTGAGAGGTTAAATAGAATGCTGAAATTAAACCACGTAAATAGCAAAGATAAATTCTAAATTCTGAGATATAATGGTCTGATTACTAGTTAATCAGACAAATGGGTACTTAAATTTTTTTTTTAGTAAGCTGAACATTTTCATCAGGGCCTGGGGAGACGGAAAAGAGCCTTTCCCAGTGAACTGAAATGATAGTTTATCATTTTAAGTTTACAACTTTCCCAGTCCCTCTCAGGCAGAGTTCTTGAGTCCTAGCTTGGTAATATTTCTGTCTAATTGTATTTCAAAGATCAGACTTGACTCTAAGTATTCCACATCAAATAGGCGATTAGTTTGTCTGAAAACTACAGCAGCATTGCTGTCTTCTGTGTAGTAGTCAGAGTAGAGTTATCGGCAGGTCCGCCGCTCTCCTAGGTGACAGGCTACGACAAGAGAAAAGAAAACCAGAAAACAGAGGAAGAGAAGGAAGTACAGAGAGCGGTGGTTTCTGCGTCTGGCCGTGTCCCCAGGTCAGAGGGGAAGACAGCACTGTGGTTTAGTTTGTAAATGACAGTAGGAGGATGCTTCCCACTGCTTGAGCAGCAGAGTCACAATGGGCAAAAAATCTGCTTCTTCCTTTCGCTAAGAGTTACCCCTCTGTTAACGTAGGTTTGACCCCGCTTGGAACTGATCGAATTCCTGTTCTCTAAGATGCTTGTGTTCTCTGACCTCTGTGAGTGTTTCCTGTTAGTGAACAGAATATACATGTTTTGCTGTTTGTTTTGTTTTTATTTTTTAGGAAAAGACTGATGTGGAAGGAACCTTATTTGTTTACACAAGGTAAGAGTATTTCACTTTCATAAAGAAACTGATGGTCTTTCACTCATGGCTTAGCTCTGTTGTGTCACCCTTCAAGTGTAGTTTTATTTCAGAGAAGGGAAAGAACTTAGTTTGAAGCTATTAGTTTGAAGTTATTAGTTGACATAAGGGAATACTGAATGATGGCATCTGTGTGGTGTCATGAATACTGATTTCAGAATATAATGTAAACTTCAGTATGGATGAACTTAAATCTCTGTGTTCTTATAAAAGCAGTGTTAACTATGTATTCTTTAATTCGAATGAATGGTACAAAGTGCTTGAGTATAATGGATTGGCAAGGAGCTAGAAGTACACTGGTCAGAATGTTAGATTATCTAACCAGCATTTGGAGGAGAGCGTTATTGGTCACGCCACCTCTTCACTCCTTGAAGAAGCGTGATCAAAATTAAAGAGGTCTCTCAGCCCTCCACTGTACAGCTAGTGGAATGTGTTTCAGGATAGATTTAATAAATTCATGTTTTTTGGTAATTTTTATCAGCTGTTGCTAATATCACACATGCACACAGAGATGTGTAGTATGTACATTGTCTTCACAGCTAAGCTGTTTATTCACAGAAACATCCACGTAAGATCTCACAGCTGAGGCCCATCACCGCCGGTGGGTTACAGAGATATAATAACCCTTCCCACCCCACACACGCTCATCTGTTCTATACACACTTTCACCTTTGAAGGTAAACCACGGTGTGGATGGACTACCCCCGCGCCAGTTGGCGCGTGATAAGCAGCGAGTGGGCGGGCGTGTGGCCCTGGGAGGCTCTGCAGAGCTGCCGAGTGCAGGGCAGGAGCTGAGCGTTGCGGAGGCGGAGGCAGGGGCCCCGTGGTACAGCACAGTGAGGGCAGTGGTCTGGGGCAGAGAGTGTGTATCGGTTGGCATGAGTTAGAAGCTGACGGTGAGAGTAAAGAGATTTTGCTGGCTTGGAGTATCAGACTGAAGGTGCTGAAAGCTGTTTTCTGAGCAGTAGGGAGCCGCTGAAGGTTTGCGAGTGGGGGAGTAAAGGAGTGATGACAGGACGTGCGCGAAAGTCGGTATGCTAGCATTATGCAGGCACGGAGAAGACGGCGGTGGCGGAGCGGGTGTGAGGTGAAGTGGGGAGGGCTTATTGGGAGACTGCATGCAGGGGGCGGTGGCATTTTAAAGTACTGGTGAGATTTTGAAATGGAAAACAGAGAGGATGATAGACTCATTGGCGGAATGGAAAGATGGGAGGTTGAGAACCTGGCTTGAGGATAGTTTTAGTTTCATTTTGAAATAGTGGTTTTGGGGTGATGGCAGGGCGTTCCAGTGGTGGCACCAGGCACTCGGGACGGGGCAGGGACGGAGGCACAGAGTGTGGAGGTGTCGGCATCGTTAGCTTGGTCGTTGGAATCAGTAGAGAAGCTGAGGGGCTAATGGCTGGGTTTCAGGGTCAGCAGGATGCAGAGAAGAGTCACCACGGAGACAGGCAGAACTAGAGCAGCACACAGAGGCCCCTGCGGCCCAGGGCAGGTTCGGTGTGGAGGGTGGGCAGGAGGCAATGGTGGGAGTGGAAGGGAGAGCATTTTTAGTAGGGTCTTCTTTTGTTGATGCAGAGGAGTAACAGATTATGCAAGTATTTTCTGTTTTGTACCAAAGCCAAACGTAGGTTGGTATTTTCAAGCACTTCTTAATATACTCTTGAGTTCCTCATGGAGCTGTCAGTTAAACAAACCTTTAAACTGAGAAGCAGATCCTTCCCTAGTCCTTAATCTCTTCCCCATATCTAACTCCTTAAGAGCAGGACCCTCTCTCCCATCCCTCTCCCCCCCACCCCAGCCCCACCATCTGATCCCAGATTCTAGAATGTTGAGGTCTTTCGAGGATGACAGACAGCTCATGGAAATCACAAGGGAGTTTTGGGTACAGGTAATGGAACTGCCAGTGATGTATTTTGACTTAACAGATGTTGCTTTAGAGCAGTTGGTATCCTCTTAGTCTATTTTATAAATTGTGAGATGGTGTAGTAACCGTACCATTAGAGGGGTGAAAGCCTGTTGTGATAATGAAATACTGGAAGAATCAAATTCTGATTCTGTATAAAAACACCTAACCCCATTTTTAAAATTGTGTCTTTGTTTCCTCGTGTGTCTTCCTGTAATAGAGTTACACCCACTGGTGATTTCCAGAGGACCCTCTGACAGGGGTCTTCGGAAGTCACGCTTCATTCTTCCCCAGAATTGAAGTTGAAATGATCGTCGTGGTTATTTCCGGTGTTCATTATATGCCCAGCACCACGCTACCACTTAGTAAAATAAGCAGGCAAGGATTGCCTTCCATCAGTTTTAAAATTAGAAGTCTCATAAGAAAGCTGTAGGTAGTAAATCAAGTGGTTAGAGGTGGAATAAAACTGAGCTATAAACCCCTTTTCTTCCTGTTGCTCACAGCATTTCTGTGGGCTTGTTACCTTGTGCCCCAGATTAAATCAGTGGCCCTGCCTGTTTCCGTTTCAGTGTGTGAGCATGTGTGTTCCAGTTTGTCAGCAGAAGTTGCACAGTTGGGTTGGTATCTGGCCTGTCCCCCAAGGGTAGACAGATGCACCTGTAGTTGTTAGTTTCTCTATGATTTGGGTTCTTCCTGCCTGACAGAGACTAGGCACTGAAGGTTTATTGAATGAAATTAAAAATAAGAAGTTACTAAATGCACAGTTTTATGGATAAACACTCCTGTAGTAGCTTATCGGTGAAGCTGTTCGCCTTACACTGAAGAACACTGAGTATCTGCTCTTTGCTTTAAGTTGTATAAACGCTTAATTATGCTGTATCTCCTCATAAGTTCACTGACCAGAGTTACATCGTTTCCCTAAGAAATTACACAGCTTTCAATTTCAGACCAGCACTAGCATTTTCTATAATTGTGATGTACGCTCTGTATTAACGGTCAAGATTGTTTAAAGGTGTCTGTCGGTAATTTTTTTATCAGTAGTTACCATCTCTGCCTTAAAGGAACTTAACAACGTAGGTAGGGAAACAAGCTGTGTATATGTACGTACGTACACAGTTAAGTAAGTAGGGCTGGACTTTACCAAAGCACCAGCATGGCCGGCGTGCCATATGCGTCCTGCACATTGGTGCAGCCCACGGTGAAGGGGCGGAAAGGTTGAAGGCGTGTCCAGATGCCCCTGTCCTGGAAGTGCTCTGCTCTGAATGGCATGTCTCTATGTCCCCCCGACCCCGGCAACCTTTAGGTCTGCTTCTCCGAAACACGGCTTCACCATCATGAACAGGCTGAGCATGGAGAATAGGACAGAGCCCATCACGAAAGACCTGGATTTCCAGCTCCAGGACCCCTTCCTTCTCTACAGAAATGCCAGATGTGAGTCTGAACGCGTGTTTGAGACTGTGTGTGACTGTTGTGTTTAGTGTCAGTGACTCTAGGGGTCAGCACGGGTGGCCTGGGAAACACATGCCTCGGTGCGGGATAGCTTCTTCCTCGGGAGAGTTTACACGGAAACAGTGTGAATGTGATGACGTGAGCACTTAAACCTCGTCCTCTGCAGCTGGACCACTTTGTGCCGTGAGCCTGAGCGGGGCTTGGGGGAGGCGAGTCCTTGGCCAGGAGACCGCAGAAGGCACCTCGGTGGTGCTGCAGGACCTAGACTAGCCATTCAGCTTGTGTGTCACTTCGGCTGAGCATCCGATGAGATGCTTGAGGGAGAGGGCCTGTCTTCCAGAAGTACCATCTTTTGAATACATAGTAAATGAAAACCAAAGTCCAAAGAGTTTTGGTCCTTAAGAATTTCATAACACTTGGTAAAGTTTAAGTTCTGTTAGGTAACTAAATGGTCCTTGTCAGGTTTGAAATGAGGTAGCAGTCGCCTGCCCAGAATTCGGTCCCCATTTCACTCTTGCATCTCATCTGACCACTCGTGCTGAACTATTGGGCAGCCCACAGAAAAGTGGATGAGAACGTTAGGAACTGCAGGAGCATCTCCACACAGAACACAAGAGCACACTGTAGCTGCTTAAACGTGTGTGCACGTGCTCCGTGCTGGCTTTCCAAAAGACCTTGCAGCTAAGAAATGGTTACCGTGCATTTTCCACCCCATTCTTTGAGCTCAAGATACAAGAATTTGCCTTCTGTGTACTAGTCAGTGTTAACAATGTAATACAAGTAATATATAATGTTTCAACCCCATTGAATTGTTCTGAAGTAAATATAGCATCATTTTAATGCTATATTTACTTATATTCACATGTAACTAAGTTGTCGTGATAGGTGGTCATCCTATTTAGAAAATACAGTTAAGTCTTACGAGAAAAAAATTATAAGAAAGCTATTAAAACTATGTAACTTGACTTTCTAATGGCAGGTCCTATGAAATGAAAAATTCAGTAATACAGAGAAATATCTTGTTTACTGTTCCTGTTTCTTTGCTGGAAGGCGTAGTTTAATCACGTGTAGCTTGTAGCTGTTTGAGTTTTTTTGTGTGCTTGTTATGTCGGGTTATATTTTCTTTTTTTGAGATTATTAAATTCTATGTCAGATTAATATGTAACTCAAATCCTAATAAACAAAATAACCGCAAAATTAAATATAAAATGAATGAATATTAGCGGCTTATAATAACTTTTGGTTGCCCTTAGTTTGGATAAATACTGAGTCTAGTTGGTATAGATAGTATTTTAAATTCTTATTACAATATTACATATTATATATTATGTACTGTACCAAAGATATGAAAGTACAAACTCTCTTTGATGTGGTCGATTTTAAAAATAACCTTCCTCAGTCCCACAGGGTTTAGCTGCTAGGATCTAGTAAACGTGCTCAGCCCCACCTGGGTTCCAGGCTGTGCTGTCCAGTACCGCCCCATGGGCTAGGGTGGCTGGTCTGAATTTTACACCCTGAGCTATGAATGTAAAAGACACACTGATTTTCACAGACTCGGTACAAAAAAAAGGAATGTGAAAAAATCTCAGTAGTCCTATATTGATTTACCTGTTGAAATGGTAATATTTTGAATATATTGAGTTAAATAAAAAGTATTATTAAAATTCATTTCACCTGCTTCTTTTTATTTTTTTAGTTAAAAATTCCATTTGTGGCTCACATTTGTGGTTCACCGTATGTTTCTACTAGACGGCACTGTTCCAGGCGTTTTCATTCATCTTCCCACACTTCCTCATCACAGCTTTGAGGGACAGACACTCTCCCTGCTGTTTTGCAGATGAGAAAACTGAGTCTCAGGGAGGTGGCAGCCCTGACAGACCCACACGTTCTGATTTCAGGTCCGTTGCTTTTTGTACACCAGCCTGTACTGCTCTCTCCACTGTTCACCATGAGTGCCCATTGAAGGCAGCCTTTGGGCTGTGTATTAAAATGTTTCTAATGAGCTTCCATAAGACAAATGAAATCAGTTGAACAACAAAGAGTGGAAGGGAATGGATCTATTTACCTTCCTGAGTTTATTTTGCTTCTTTTCTCCTTAATAATTTGGCACATCTTGATCTTGACTTTGCAGCCATAGTCATTTGGATTTCGTTTATTTATAAAAGCCTCTTCAGAGTCTCTGACATCAGAGGTTCCCTGAGGGTTTTGCTCCAGGTGCTTGCAGCGTGTCAGATACTCTCAAATGTTTTTAAATAATTCTGATACTCTATGGAATAATTGCATCTGGTTTGCATATTCTCTGATGATGTATAGATTCATTCATCATCCTTTGAACAATGAACCCAGCTTCACTCAGGACCAGTCTTTAAGACTCCCTACCTTTCGAAATCTGTTGAGTCAAGGATCTCCCTGTTTTAGTCCTGACATTTCACTTTGGCCAATATATGTCATAGGCCAGGTTGGGACATGTCAAGAGGCAGAGCTGATACAGGTTTGTGGTGAGTTTTTTAAATTTACTAGGTTAAAAAAACTGGTACGTGAGGAGATAACTATCCCTTTCTAAAATTGTGTGGATTTAGAAGAGCAAAATAAAAAAGTGAAAACTCAAACTTTCTTCATTTAATTAAAAAAAAAAAAGATGTATAATAAGTAACTGAATTTCGGCCAAACACAAAATGTATGGTTTTATTACAGTACAGGATTTATAGTGTTTAAACCTGGTTGTCATAGAATTTGACCTCTGTAAGCTTTATAGGTAAATAAGGTGCCTGTTGAATTAGAAAATATTTACCCGACAAACATGTACTGAGTGCTTACTGTCTCCCAGGCACCATGTCAAGGCTCTGTATGGGTTATTTAATTCTCATCACTTTTCCTTAGAAATCCTATTATTCCTATTTTGTAAATGAGGAAACTGAGGTTAAAGGGATTACGTAATTTACCGAGGTCTGTGACTGTTTTGAGATGGAAAGAGCATTTGGACTGAGAAAGCCTATCTCCAGAGATCCAGGCCCAAGCGGTGGAGGTGCCAGCACACGAGTGATGGGTCTGAGCAAGCTTTACCTTATACGCAATGCTCAGTCTTGTAGTGTACACTCCAGAGTTAAAAGGCGAGTTTCTTTTTTTTTTTAAGTTGAGAATCTACTGTATCTCCGTTATTAGAAAGGAGAATATCAAATAAAACTAATGTAACAAAAAGCTGAATCTGACTGTTTCTTGTGTATTATTACCCTCCAGCAGCTGTTTGCTGTATTTGCCATTTCAGAACTAAATAAGATTTTGGTATAGGGAGATACAGTTTAGAACTGTATTTTCCCGAGTAGGTCATAATATTTAAGATAAGTTACGGACAGCAATGACAGGTAGATTTCAGAGCTAGGCCAACATGTTGAATATATTATTGTCTGTGATTACAGAATTAGAATGAAATTCTTTGGGGCTGCTTGATTTCATTGCAGACATAAGCTTGGAGCTTAGAGCAAATCAGGAAAGGCAAAAATCAAGACACCAAGATCAAAGCTGTTTTAGAAAACTCCTCAGTTTTAAAGTGAATTTACCATATTGGGTAGTTTTATATTCATAAAGAAATACAATTTAAATTCTTTATTGACATTTGTAGGATCTGAGAAAAACTGCTATAAATAATGATAAATGGTACACTGAATGAAAGTTATAATTACGGACAGTCCTCATCTTTCAAATAGACCATGACCTAGAAGTTCCCTTTTAAAGTGATTGGTTGGTAGACTTTTAGCTCAACATGGCAGATCGAACACACTCCTGAAACTGTTGAAATGACAGTAACGGAGTAAAAAGATTCAAACCCACAAGGGTGCAGGGTGGATTTCATGAAAAAAATGGCACAAACGAGAGAGAGGAAGACATGCCACGACAGCTTCGTTGTTCACAATTGTTAACCTTACTGCCCTGCAGAAGACTCTCTCTGCCCTGTTGATGTCGGACTTGACAGTGCTCTTTGGTTCTTCCCCCACTGACCCTTCCGGGGCGATATTGTGTAGTTGCCCTTTGGGCTCAAGTATGATTGTGTGGACTGATCTGGCCAGTGAGATAGGGGTAGAAGTGGTACATGTGACTTCTGAGCAGATGCATGTTCAACCACATCTCTTTCCCTTCTGCCATGATGACTCGCGGTGTTCAGGCAGAGGCTGCTCTGTCAGCCTGGTCCTGGGATGAAGGCACAGAGGTGACCCATGATGGGCTTGTAATGTGTATGAGAAGTAAACCTTTGTCATTGTAAGCCATTGAGATTTGGGGGTCATTTGTTACTCCAGCATAACTTGGGCTGTTATGACAGATACACAGGCCATCCAGGAAAAGGGGGATCCAAGCACAGGTTGGAGGTAAAGGAGTTCTGAGAAGAGTGGTAAAGAGGAGTCCCATCATGACCCCTATGCAACTGAACTAAAGATGAGTCAGTCTAAAAGTAGGAAGATGGAAGGCTTCAGGAAGCATGTCCAAGAAGAAATTTACACCTGAGAGTTTGAATCTCTTGGGACATTTACAGTTCCTTTTTCAGTGATTTTGGTAATGATATAAGAACATTAAAAACTGAGAGGGGAGAAAAAAAAAAGGAGGCAATTCTTAATTCCTGGGAAAGCAAAATATTGTACAAGAAAGGAGATATAATCATAGTACGCTATTTGGCTCTGCTGGTCGTAATTAAATGATAAACACTAAAGGTGAAATGATGTTATACTTACATTGGAAGGATGGGGAAAAGTGTGTGTGTGTGTTTGTGTGTGAGAGTGTGTGTATTGTCAGAGAACTAAATCCTCTTCAATGGATTTTTCTTAAGAATCAAGAGGTAGTGTATACATGATATATAGGAAAAGAGGTTTACACACCAGAAAAAAAATTGGATGAGAAATAAGTGGAGAGCAGAAATAACTGTCATGGAAAAGGTTGCTCTTAGGGAGTGGTAATCAGGATTATAATGGCTAGAGAATTGATCTGCTATTTGT